GTGTCCCCGCCGCTACCCCTCAGCAGCCCTCTGCCCTGCTGAACGTCTGGGAGGGGACATGAGCCTTCTGCTCCCCTTGGTAAGAGGAGCCCGAAGTTTTACATGCATTTTGGACATTAGATGCAATCTGGTGACTCATCTGGTGCCCGCTGGAATGGGCAGCAACACGTTCCATGCTAGAGGAAGACCTGGCTGCGTCAGGCTCCCCAAAGGCTGCATGTCTGCCCCCAGTGTGGGATCTTCCAGGGGGTTTTTAAGAATGACTTGGACAGGTTGGGGAAGGATGAAGCGGGCAAAGGGGACCAAAAGGAGATGAGACTTTGGGTGGTGAGCATACAATGCAATATGCAGACGCTGTGTTATAAAATTCTGCACTTGAAACATAAAATGCATTACCCAGTGTCACCCAGTAATTTTAATTCAATAAAAACAACAACAAAAAAAATGACTTGGATCATGTGGAGTTTTCCTATAGCCCTTCCAAGCGATGCCCCTGCCAGGACGGGTGAGCCGAGGCGATATAAGTACATGGGCAGGGGTGAGTGGTGGCCAGTGCTAGGCTTTGGCATGGGCTCTGGTGGGGTGGACCCAGCACCCTCTTCCCCAGCCTCTTTGGGCAGTGCCCCCTCGCTCCCCCTAGTGCCCTAGCTTTTCATTTCATTTCACCCCTATCATCTCAGATGCCTGTCTGGCTCTCTCTGCTCATATTGGGGGATAGATTCAGAGGTATATCTGTGGCTACATGGTTTGTCTTTATAGGAACCCCTGCCCCAATATCAATAAATATGATTGATTTATGTTGGTACTTATTTTACCAGGAGTCTCCAAATCATTCGCCTTCAGGGCCAAGCAGGTAATGGAGGGAGTGGCTAGGGACTGACTTGAGGACTATAGACCTTACACCAAAGGTTGCTAGGTGGGAGGTCAGGTCAGGTATGTCCAGAGCTTTGTTTTAGAGAGAATTGTTGAGTTGAATTGTGGTCCCCTCTCTCAATTTATGTGTTGAATTCTTAACCCCCAGTACTTCAGAATGTGCCCTTATTTGGAAATAAGGTCATTGTAGATATCACTAAGATGAGGTCATTCTGGAGTTAGGTGTCCCCTAATTCAGTGTTAACAGTGTCCTCACTAAAAGGGGAAATTCAGGCACCCAGGGAGATGCCACGTGAAGATAAAGGCAGCGATCAGGGTGATGCTCCTTCAAGCCAAGGAACACCCAAATTGCCAGCAAGTCCCAGAGGCTGGGGGAGAGGCCCAGACAAGGCTCTTCCTCAATGTCCTGAAGGAAGCGACCCTACCGGCACTTTGACCTCAGACTTCTAGTCTCCAGAACCGTGACACAATACATTTCTTTTGTTCAAGCCACTCAGTGTGTGGTACTTTGTTACAGCAGCCCAAGCAAACAAATATAATCAGAAAACCTAGAATTTGATTAAGACCCTCTTGACTTTTAAATGTTGGCAATTCATTAAAATATTTCTAAAAACTATACAAGCTTGCAACACCCAGGTGTAGGCTGAAGGTGGAGGGCTGGAGGGCTACCAGGCTGAGATCACTGTTCAGACCCTGCTTCATTCTTTGGAAGATTTTGAGTGCCTTGGAGAGGTTTAAGAGCAATAAAAATGCACTTGCCAAGTGCTTCCCAGGCTGTGAAGAACCTCCATGGACACCCAGGCCTCCCACCCACGCACCCGGTGCCCCATTTGACAGGTGAGAACGCTGTGCCTGAGGGGAAGAAAGGCCAGAGGTAGCCCTGTTCCACTCACCCGCCTGCCCGCCAGAGGTAGCCCTGTTCCACTCACCCGCCTGCCCGGAGCAGCTGTGCTAGCAGTGGGAGGCTCTTCCCTGAGAGCAGGTCCCCAACCAGCGACAGATCAAGCCCACTGCTCTTTTTGGAGAGGCCTTTCTTTACGAAGGGTAGGTGGTCCAGGATGGGGACACCTTTGCTTCTGGCGCCCGTCACAGGTATCCGGGCCATGCGGTCCAGAATGTGGTGTTCCGAGAACAAGTCCGAAATGTCTGAGGACACAGGACACAAGCCCCTACTCGGTGTGGGGCTCACCCTTCATTCAGTCATTCAACAAATGCCCACTAGCACCTGCTCTGAGTCAAGGAGTTGGCCATTTAGCAACAAGTAGTTATTAAGTGCTTGCTCTCTTCTGGGCTCAGGGAGTGTATGTTCTGGTGGGGAGACAGACGACAACAACCGAGCACTCATGTAAGCAAGCACGGCAATTTTTGAAAGCTGTAAGTGCTACAAAGAAAATAAAATGGAGTTGAGTTGGACATGACTGGAAGAAGGGTGGTCAGGGAGAGCCTCTCTGAAGAGGAGGCATTTGAGCTGAGAACTGAATGAAGCTGACCTGCAAGGGCTGGGGAGAGAGAGCAATGTGGACAGAGGAAACAGCATGTGCAAAGGCCCTGAGGCGGTAATAAGCCTGGCGAGTTTATGAAACAGATCAGTGAGGTAGGAGTGTGGTATATGGGGGACAACCAGAAACTCACGGCCAAAAGTTGGGGAGAGAGACAGAAAAAAACAGGACAAGGCCATAGACAAGGCTTCAGCAAAAGGTTGTGGGAGCCAGAGGAAGGAGATGCATTCTCCCCACAGAAATAGAAGGGATTCCCGTCACAGGGACTATTAGAGCTTTGCCGCAATGACTGAAGCAGAATCCCTTGTGTTGGGAAGGATGAAAAGAGCACCATAGGTAGAAGGAATAGCACCAGCAAAGGAAGGAGGCTGGGGAGTCTGTCGAGGTGGTTAGGGCACGTGGTGGAAGAGGAGATATAGGGCCTTGAATGCCAGTATGAGGAGCTTGGGCGTTCTCCTGAAGGTACTGGGGAGCCACAATAATGTTTGAGCAGGGGAAGGATAGGGTCAGCTCTTGGTGAAGGAAGGTAAATTCTGCTGCTTGTGAGGGGGAGGCTAGAAGAGAAGCCTTGAATAGGGAGGTAGTGCCATCTCCCACCCTTGCCTTTCCCTGAGTTCCTGCCTCCCTCGGCCCACCCCTTAAATTTTACCTCTTTCCAGCTGGTTCTTGCTGATCCTCAGGAAGAGCGTGTGCTGGGCCTCTCCTTGGGCTTGGGACAGTAGTCCCCAGCATAGCAGTGACCCCCAGAACAGCAGCATTCTCCTGGCCAGGACCTATGGACAAAGATCTGGGAAGCTTCGTGTCACCTCCATGTCCTCATCAGGGGCCCATTGCTTAGCGTCTCCCAGCTCTGCCTCTCCTAGAACCACCTCCCTAGCTTTCCTTCAAGTGCTTCTCCCTCTAGCTCTGGGTCTGCTAGTCCTTGAACACAGCCTGCCTTCCACCACCTCATAGTGCTTTTGGCTCCCTTCGCCTGGAGTGCCCTTCCTCCTTGTGTGCGCTGGCTTCATCTGGGCTCTGCCACTTCCTGACTGTGTGACCCTATGCAAGTTACTTGACCTCTGTGTACCTCAGACTTCTCATCTGTAAAATTGGGATTAAACGTAAGTCATGAGGAATACATTCAACAATGTGCACCAAATATTTAGCAGGCAATGGGCCTAACAGCTGCTAATGTGGCTGGGCTTCTTTGTGAGATGTTTAAAGATGTAGTGCTCCCCTTTAACCATGGAGGTTTCTGGATCTTGAGAAGGCCCGGATGGGGGTCCTGGGGGAGGTGCCATAGTGGCTGGGATAGGCTCAGGGGGCTTGAAGACATGGCTCTTTACCAACTAGCAGGGAAATGTTTCAATATTTCAACTAGTACATTTGTACTGGTTTCTATCAGCTGAACTTCAGCCCTGCCCACGGTGGCCAAAGGGCATAGTCAGGACCCTGGAGCCTGCAGGTGGTGGTGGTGGGGCTCTCTGAGTGGGCAAAAGTGTGCCACCAGGAGACAGCCTCTGAAAGTTCGAGGCAGGGACCATCTGGGATGCAGACAAAGATGCTAGGGTAAGCAGGGCCCACTGAGGACCAGCACTGTACCCCCCCATGCCATGCCCATGAAGAAGCCACCCAGAGGGTACATGCCTCCCCTGAGCAAGGACAGGAGACTCCCAAAGCAGCCAAACCTGCTAGAGAGTGCCTGAGAAAATCCTGGCATTGCCATGAATCGGCAACATCCAAAATTTTGGTACTTGGTGGCACCAAAACCGTGATTTAACTAGGTATAGAAAAGAAAGTTTTTGTTTGCATATGCAAATTTTGGACTGAAAAATTTGTACTCATGGCATTAGCTATTTATATTTTGCTTCTAGGCTGATTTAAAATTCCCCTGCTATTCACCCAACCAGGATTTAGTCAGTCCCTATGGCAGGCACTTTTCTCAATCAGTTCACCCAAGTCAGATCTCTCCGCCCTTCCTGCCCTTAGGACCTGACACCATCTTCCCACCCTCTCCCTGCCAGCCTCGACTTCTACTTGAGTTCTTACTATGTGGCAGACACCATGCCAGGAACTTTACAAGCTTCACGACATCATTGAGTCTTCACCACAGCAGTCTGGGATCATTGATGCAGGTTCGTTTTACAGATCACAAAACTGAAGCTCAGAGAGGAGAAATGCATTGCCCCAAATCACACAGGTAGTAGAGCCTGGATCTGAACCCAGTTGGCCTGGCGCTGAGAATCTCTGCACCACTTCACCACATTAGTGTAGGTGCTCAAGAAACATCTGAGAAATGCCCTTGTTAGCCTTTGTCCTTACCTTTCCAAGAATAGGGCTGCCTGGAATCTTTCCCTGGTCTCTGTCTCCAGCTTCCAAGAAAGACTTTTATAACCTGAGCTCTGAAGCTCGGGTGGGTGGCACATGGCAGGAATGGGGCCGGTGCTCAGAGGAGCTCTTTAGTGGAGGGAGGGTCCTCTTGGCAGAGATGGCAAGGAGCTTCTGGCCAAAACTGATAGGGCCTGTCACTGAGGCTCAAGGGGCAGGCTCTGGGCCAGGGCCAACATACTCAAGGGAGGAAGTGGGAGGGTCCTTTGGTTTTGGGGTTGGGCCCTTTCTCTTAGGAATAACATCAGAGCTGCAGAGCCTAGGCAGGGCCTTCTGCTCTTCAGAGGGGCTCAAGGAGGCTCCTAATACAGACTGTGCCAGCCACAGAACCCAAGGGAGTAAGGATATATATTGGGTGGTGGGGACAGCAGGTGAGGGATAGAGGCAGGTGAGGGATAGAGGCAGGGCTGGGGGGAGCCCTGTGGCCACCTATGGCCATTCCTCATCCCTTTTCCATATATGTCATCTCTGTCATGTTTCTGTAGCCAGACAGGCCTAGGTTCAAATCCCCACTGTCACTCAGTAACTGTATAACTGCTGGCAAGTTACTTTCCCTTCTGAGCCTCACTTTTCATGTCTGCAAAATGGGAGTAATAAATCCACGTATGTCTTTTGGATATTGTGAAGATCATTGAAGTAACTCATGTAGATGTCAGCACAGGGCCTGGCACACAGGAAAGGTTCAAAAGAAGTTATTTTAACTTCCATTTTATAGATGAAAAAACTGAGACTCAGAGAGGTTAAGTGATTTTCTCAAGGTCACACAGCATGTCCAAGGTAAAACTGGATTTGAAATCAGGGCACGGACAAGGGACTGGCTGCCCAGTGAAAGGGAAATTCAGTGTTGCTATGCAACATGGCTCCAAGATCCCCCAAGTCCTCACTCCCAACAAAATTGCTATGCACAGGTCCTCCTATGTGAGTATCCTGGTGCCACCATTGCAAATGTGCATGGCTGTGTCACATGGACTCCCCCACACTGCTATTCAGTGTGGTTATTTTGATGGCAGGCGTATTCATCTCCAGGTGGCTTTCCACAGGATTCTCCCTGTAATTAATTCCTTTCCCTTTCCCAGCTCAGAGATGTGGTCAGTGTAGGTGTTAAGCTCCATTTTTCAGCTGGACACACCAGGTAGATGGTCTGATGGTGGAAGAGCAGGTTCTGGAAGGCAGCAGATGCCCAGGAAATGCTTAGGTCCATGTTAGCTAGTTCTGAAATTCTCACTTTGGCTAATATCAAAAGCAAATGGCTGATGTTAGTATGATTTAGGAGCATATTTTAGATGGGATGTACTTATTCTAGAATCTCGGCATCATTTTTGATTGGCAAAATGCTTTAAAAGATGGCCAGTCCCCCTCATTAGTGTCTAGGGCAAAGGAAGGCTCTGGCATTAATTTTCTCATCTGAGTCACTGGGGTCTGATGTTGGTGGAAGCTCAGAGGCCTCCCTTTCAAAATCTGGCTTCTCTAAATGGGACAGGAGAGAAAAATTTGACCAGAGCCTCACTGAATTGGTCTGTTTTACCTCATTGAATCATCTCTGCTGAGAGGAGATTTCCTGGGGGTCTCCCCCATAAAAGGGAAGCCCTGGGAAGGACTCAGAGAGGTACAAAGCCCATTACTGCCTCTCTCTGGGCCTCAGTTTACTGATCTGTAAAGTGGGACAGTGAAGCCCACAGGCCGTGCACAACGCCGGGCTGGGACCCGAGTAGCCCTCAGGGAACAGGCTGTGGGTCGTCCCTGCTCTACTGAGGAATAAGAAATGGGTCACTGCGCCGCTGTGGGGTCCGCTGGGGAGCCCGGGCAGGCGGGCGAGGCTGGGCTCCCCGGTCCGCTGGCTGAGCTCCTCCATCTCTCATCTGCGAGACAGACAATTGCTCCTGCTGGGCCGAGAGGCTACTGAGGTAGCACTTAGTGTTTTTATTTGCTCTGGCTAATGAGACTCAGAGAGAAGCAGAGGGCTTTTCCCTCCCCCAGCCCAGCAAGGGTAGGGTCTTGGAGCTCTGGATCTGGGGGCTTCTGTCTCAGGGGTGTATGGGTGGCAGTTGTGTTTCGGGGCTCAAACGGAAGGAGGTGGCACAGAAGACACCGTCTCCTTTAGGGGAGGTGGAGCCCCAAGGGGGAGTGCTGCACTTACAGAGAGTAGGAGGAGGCATTGTGGGGTGATGGTTAGCAGCTGCTTGGTAGTTGTGGAGTCAGAGGCTCAGCTTCCTCATTAGTCAAGTGGGGGTGCTACAGGCTGTGTGGAAAGGCGGGGCGAGTGAAGGTCCCTCAGACCCTTAGCACGGTACCTGCAGAGCAGGTCCTTGTCTTGGTTTGGGTTCCCCAGAAGGATTTGAGTGCAGGTAGCTGATTTGGGAGGTGATCCCAGGAGACACTGGTGGGGGAGGGGGAAAGTGAGAGGAGACAGCCCATAGAGGTGTGTCATTAAGCAGGTGACTCCAGGGGCACCTGGGGCTCAGTCCCACTGGGCTGTTGTGGGAGCTAGTGTGGAGTTGTTCCCTTTCCCCACGGGGTGAGGAAGTGGGGTTATTTATCTACTAACCTCCAGGAAGCCCGGAGGTTGTGGGTGGTTGGAACCTGGGGCCACGATCCTGGCTGTTTGGGAGAAGTGCTCCAGCTTGACCGGGTGTGGGAGCCGCTCACTTCCGAGAGGATCACGCCGGCTGGGACAGAGGCCCCTTCATCAGCACCAGATAGGACCCGAGGCCATAGGCTCTGCCCCATCTTCCAGGCTCCTCAGAAGCCCCCAACAGATCCTTGTATGACTCTAGGGAACCAGCAGAGACCTACCCCAGAACAGATGGAGATGGACTTTCCCATCGCCCTGTGAGTGGGGGTTCACACCCAGATTTAATATGGTTTAGAAAAAGAATGGATTGTGATGTGTGGGGACACAGAGCACTAAGAGTGACTGGGAGTCTGTGGTGCGTGGGGAGCTGCAGCATAGGGCCTGGAGCTCAGCAACTGCCCAGTAAGTGTTCATTGGCCCTGGTGTAAGTGCCTTGTGCAGGGTCTTATCCTGGCCCCTCCCTGTCCCTCATGGCCTGGCCTGTGTCTTGCAGGTAGAAGCTCCATCTGGGCTGCCTTTCCAGACTGTGAGCTGTTCTGACGCCTGTGTATGCCCTGAAGTTGAGTAACGCCTTTTTCTGAAATGCCCACCCAATCCTTCCTGCAAGGCCCCTCGTGTAACTGAAGGGCTCTGTGTGCTAGGCTGGGCCTTGAGTCTTGAGAAGAGGGGCCCATATTGTGTGTCCTGAACCTGCTGGCATCAGCAAGGTCAGGGAGACAATGGTAGTCATGTTGTTGTCCAAGCAGGAAGCGCCTTCAGTGATAAGACCCAACATCTTGGAGGCCAGGTAATAACAGTGATGATGACATCATTTACATATGACATTGTTTTAGCCCCACCCATGTGTCTGGAACCATTCTCTCTCACTTCATCCTCACTACAGCACTCCAATATTGGGACTATGATTCTCCCCATTTTATAGAGGAGGAAACTGAGGTCCACTGAGGGGAAGCCACATCCCAGGGTCAAACAACTATTGAGGGGGGCCAGGCCAGAACTCAAAGCTGCCTCTAGAGTCACTTTGTTCAGAGAGCCCTAGACCCACCACATTGCCAAGATCAACAAAGCATGTGACCCTTGCCAAGAGGCCCATTATAAGGGGCGTCTTAAGGCCAACAGAGAAGGCAGGAGGGCAAAACCAGCTTTCTTATTCCTGAAGCCCAGGAAGGCGGCCAAGACCCTGGATATTATTCACATGTGGTCTGATGTGGCCCAAACATATCTCGGGTGTGGCCCAGATTGGCTCAGAAGGACCTGAACATGACCCAGATGTGGCTTGGATGTCCAGCCCCCAAGCCTGCCAGGGGCACGATAACTCCTGAGTTGGGACAAAGATACACTCCAGACTGCAGAATACACAGACAAGTATTTATTTACTGCAGAGAGGGACACCTGCAGAGCTGGTTTCCACTGGGAGCCAGCCTGCCCTGGGTGCCACTGTCCAAATCTTCACTAGAAGATAGGAGAGGGGTCCACAGTGCCAGGAGGGAACGGGGTGAGCACAACAGCGTCCTGGAATTGGAGGAGAAAAGTCAAATGGGTTTTTTACCTCCTGCCATGTGATTTATGCTGGTTTGTCTTCCTCAAAATGACCACTGGCATTGGGGGTTATGACTCTGAACTCACTCATACAGAATTCTTGGAAGGGTCAAAGGAGTAGGTTCTGGCTTTTTTTTTTTTTTTTTAACGAACTGGGATATGAAGAACTTAATCTATTAGATTTCCCCCAACATTTTATCCTGATCATTTTCAAACATACAGTAAAGTTGAAAGAATGTTATACTGAACACTTATATACTCATCCCTTAGATTCTATTAACTTTCTAAAACCAGACTTGCTTTATCTCATATCAAACCACTTATTTGTCCGACTAGATTTTAAAACATATTATATTATAAAGCTATAAAAAGGAAATAAATGTGCTTGTTAGTCCAAAACAAATGAATAGCACAAAGCAGGAAATTTGGAAACAGTTCCAAAGAATGAAATGATGCTTTTCCAACCCAAACTGTAAGTGATGAATTATGTGATGCAAGTTGATTAAAAAAAAAAAGAAGACAGTTGCTAAATGCCCCATAATAAGAGATACGTGAAATAAACCAAGCTCCAGCCAGTTGTGCATCCAACATGAATGAAGTACGAGTATGTGCTTTAGATAAACAAACCGCTGCTATTTCAAACGGATCATTGTAATCCAGTCCATTAGTGCATGACCTGTGTATGCAGACATCTGCTGAGCTTTATGCATGAGGAAGCTGGGCTCAGAGCGGCCAGAGGACCTGCCTGAGGCTCCATGGCTAGAGAGGCAGCCCTGGGATCTGAACCAGTCCTCTGGTCCCTGAGTCTAGACTCCCAGCCTCCCTTGGTACCATCCGCAGCACTGTTCTTATTAGTCTACATAACCCAGCTGAAGGATGGACACGGATTTCCAGGTGGGAAGCTGACAATAAGTCAGGCGTCAACTTGGCTTTGATGCTTGTTGACAAAGCCGCCTACCCTTCCCCCAAATTGAACTCTAGTAAAGTGGGGCATTTTTGAGACTTCCTTTCCTCTGGGGATTGCTCTGGAACTAAACAGCCCAGGAATCCAGTGGTATCAATCCATAACTTTGGGCAAATAGGGACTAATAAGAATTATAGGTTTGGTTCGAAGTGCCTTCGTGGCCTTTCGTTGGGCACCCTGGCCGTGGAAGGGTGGACAGTTACCTGTGGATGTTCTTAATTGTTAATATTTCTGCTTTCAATGTTTCTGCCACTCTAGGGTAGACTAGAAACTCCACGAAGGCAGGGATTTCTGTCCCTTTTGTTCACAGTTGTGATCAGTGCCTGGCACACAGTAGGTGCTTAGTAAATGCCTGATAGCCAGCTGATTGAGATGGAACCACCTCATGTGGAGGTTGGGGCCCAAAGCAGGGGGTTATCAGGGCAAGTGCTGAGTGCACATCTTGACTCTGTCACCTACTGGGTGTGTGACCTTGGAAATGGACTTGCCATCTCTCAGTCTTAGTTTCCTCATCTGTAAAATGGGGATTACAATAGGATGTACCCCATAGGGTGATTGTGAAAACTGAGCAAGATACCCCAGTGCTGGCACAAAATGATTATGGTCTATTAAATATTATTAATGATAACATTTTGGGTTGGGGATGAGGCTGCTACAGCTCCTATCTCCAGCAGCTGCCAAGGAGTGCCATATGCTCAATAAGAATTTATTGAGCATCTACTGTGCCAGGCCTTACTGAATGAATGAATGAATGAATGAACAAATGAATGACAGGTAGGGTGGGAAAATCTGGAAGTGTATTGACCCTAGACAAGGATGGTTGCATTCTTCTACTTACAGACGAGGAAGTGAGGCCCTGAGAGAAGAAGGGTCTTGCCCAAGTCCCCATGGGTGACCAGAAGGGCCAGAATTGGAGCACACCCCATACCTCCCAGCCCAGGGCTCCCCAGTGACTGTGCCCTCCCTGGGGCAGGATGTTTAACCACTCACCTTGGTCATAAATATTGAAGACTCCCTGATTCCCAAGGCATCTATAATCGGCAGTAAGATCCCATGTCTTAATTTGCCTGAAATAACAAATGTGGTCAGAAACTGGTGGGTCTGGGCAGCTGTGGGCAAGCTCACAGTTCCCAGAGGGGGACATGGGACCTGGCATGCCCAATTCAGACTGTTCCTTTTGCCTCTGCTCATCTGTTCTGCCCAGCATCCACTCAGCCTCATGTCCTTAACCTTTGCCTCCAGCTCTGGCTTCTGGCTGCTCCAAAGGGCACCCTCATACCCTCTCACGCGCCTGCTTAGGAACCATCAGGGCCTCCCACCATCTACAGCAGAAGTGTGGAAGCTGAGATTTCCCATTCTAATAAAATAAAGAAATGAAAAAGGTGAGGTTGGCATAGGTTACCAATTTTCCCCACCCCCATGACCCGAGGCTTAGAGCAAGTCTACCTTTTCTCTCAGTTTCCTCCACTGCTAATACAAATAACAGTGCCAACAACAGTGATGGCCGAGAAATACAGAGCCCCAACTGTGCTGGGCAGCCCCCCTCTGCCGCTTACAAACATCATCTTCTTTACGGAAGTACTCTTATTTCCCCATTTTACAAATGGAGAAACTGAGGCTCAGAATAAGGCAGCTTATCTAAGGCCAGGCAGCCAGCAAGAGCGGAATCAAGACTTGACCCAGCCCTGTCTGAGGCACATCGAGCGTGCTCTCGTTGTCTGTTTACACCTCTGTCTTCTGTTGTCATCGCTGTGAGGCATTGCCGGCTTCCTCTGCATGCCTACGCTCTGCACCAGCAAAGGGAGTCGGAGATGGGAGAGCTCATTTCCAGCTGGGTGACTGGAAAGGCTTCCTGGAGAGGTGGAGTTTGAAGTAGGTTGGGAAATGAATGAGAGGGGCCCCACATGGAGACTCGGGCAGGAGAAGTAACACTCCCACCCCCAAAAGCCCTGGGAAATGGGGGGATGAATAGCAAAGGGATGCAGCATTCTCTCTCTCTTTTTTTTGTTAACCCTCACCTGAGGACATTTTTTTCCATTGCTTTTCAGAGAAAGTGGGAGGGAGGAGGGAGAGAGAGAGAAACATCGATGTGAGAGAGATACATCGACTGGTTGCCTCCTGCATGGGCCCTGACCGGGGTCAAGGAGTGAACCTGCAACCCAGGTATGTGCTCTTGACTGGGAGTTGAACCCACAACCCTTCAGTGTGCGGGCTGATGCTCTAACCACTTAACCACAGTGGCCGGGCGGGACGCACCATTCTCATTTGGCAGCAGGAGGGTTGCCAGGATGTCGGCGACGAGGTCTTTCAGAATTTCTGGCTGTGAGAGAGAAGGGGCATTGTTAGCCTGGCTGAGAATCCCAAGTCCTCCCAGTCATTCCTAGAATGGTCATAGCCCAGCCCCATGGTGAGGATGGCTGATAGAGATGCCACAATCCCAAGTCCCCTGCTGAAGCTGCAAGGGCTCCTGGGGGTGACACAAACCCAGCTCGCCCTGGGGTCCAGTAGGTGAGGGGTGCATTAGAAGGGTGAACCCCCTCACCCCTCACTCTAAAGGGCTCCAGCGGAACGTGCCCCAAGGAAATTTAACCCTGTGCTTCCTGAGCTTTTGACTTCTCAAGGGGAGCCAGAAGTCCTGATTTTTGGGTAGAAACCTCCCCATTTAAAAATATTAGTAAGAAAAATTAAGAAACAATATGAAAACATAAGGACCAAAAGAAAACCCAAAAGAAAACAAACAAACAAAAAACCAAACCCACCAAAGCCCCAGAACCCACACTGTGTCAGAAGACAGGATTCAGCCAATTTCAGGTCTCTGATTTAGTCCAACTCAGATGAGGAAACTGAGGACCAGCGGGAAAGGGCTGCTCAGGGTCGCTGAGATGAGTTTATGTGATTGTGAATAGAGATTTGTTTCCTAATTTTGAGTCAAAACTTTACAGAAGGAAGGTGAGTGTGTATGTGTGTCTGTATGTGTGTATTCTCAGCTATGTTTAGCATACAGTAGTAAACGCCTGAACCAGGAGGTTGGACTTTGTGGCTGATAATGTGGAGGCCGGCTAGCCCACTCTAGGGCTGCCCATGGGGACCTTACTGAAAGAACATTCTGTGCAATGTCTCCTTTTGAAATGACCATCCTGGGCTATTCTGTGTCCCCAGGGACAAACTGTTACTACTTACGTCGAACAGGGCAATGTCTGCGTTCATCATGTGGACCCGATCAGCGCTGCAACAGAAGATGCCCATGAATGGCCAAGTCCCATTCATTCACCCATTCATGCATTCATTCAACTATGTATGTACCAGTCACAGTGCAGGCTCTGGAGACACAGCAGTGAACCAAATCCAAATCTTGCTTCATAGAACTTACATTGTAATTGGGGGTGGGATGGGGAGACGGAAAACAAACAGTTGCCCAAAGAACATAAAAATCGTTCTCAGGAGTGAGGACCATGCTGAACAGGGGAGCTTGGCCTTTTTCTAAAGGGGATACCCGATTCCAAGCTCAACTGTTTCCTGCCATGTAGGAATACAGGCCCACGACAGCCAGAAATTCTGATTTTTATATATTGGCAACTCATTTATATTTAAAAAAACCTAACCCTATGTGGGCTGATCAGAACACATCCGTGGACTTGATTTGTCCTAGCAGGCTCCAGTTCGTAGCCCCTGAACTCCCTCTGGGGCAGCAGGAGGGTGGTGGGGTGGGGGAGAGCAGGCAGGGGCGCAGAAGGCAGCTGGAGCCCTGTGCTTCTGGGCTCCATGGGGGCTCAGCATCTGGCTGTGACTGTCACTGCCTCTGTGTTGGAGGTGTCCAGAATGGGCCGCCCAAGGCCGAGGGATAATGCTGGGCAGGCTGTTCCTGTGGCCAAGGTCAGCCTACCTCGTGGCTGCTGCAAGACCACTTCCCTTTCCTTCTCTGTCTCTCACACTGAGTCCTCGGCAGCAGGACAGTCCAGGTAAGGCAGCCTTTCTGCCTGTCCTGGAGTAGCCGTCACTGGATGCTCACCAGGTGGGACTTGTTTTCATCACCGGACTCTTCACAATGATTTACATGTTTACCTGATTGTATTTAAGTGGAGCTTAAGTTGGTCACCTTTAGGATCAAACTGAGCTTCTGAGCTGGCTTCCTGCAACAAGAGAGAAGCCCAGGCCCCAATTCTTTTAGAGAGTGCATCAAGAGTGGGGCATGGGGTTCTGCAAGGAGTCTCTGGGGTCAAGCTGACACTTGAATCTTAGCTACTGGCTCTGTGACCTTGGGAAAGGGTTTGACCTCTCTGGGCCTCCGTTTCCTCATCTATTAAATGGGATAGTGCCTCTACCCACTCTGCATTGAACAGATAACCACATAGGATTGCTGTGGGGAGTGATGATGCTGACAATGCTGTCAGCAGCCATATAATATGCATGGAGCCCTCCCTGTGTGTCCAGCAGTTTTAAGAAGTTTATATGCTTTTCTCTTTTGGTCCTCCCAACCCTATGAAGTGACTCCTATTTTTACCCCATTGTAGAGGTGAGGAAACTGAGGCTCAAAGAAGATCAGTAACCTGGTAATGTTAACTGTTACTATAATCAGAAAGGTCAGAAGCAAAGTCAGGTCTCAAATACCAGAGCCAAAGATATATATCAACTTGACCTGTGGGCTGGGATGAGCCTGAGGGCAGAGTGCCTGGCTCCAGCTCTAGGTGAGCTGGACCCAGAGAACAATCTTGTCCTGCAGGCCTGGGCTTGGTGGCCTTTTGAGAAGTGCCTGCCAAAGGCCATGGAGGCGCTAGGTCACCCGGGCATCTAGTCCCACTGCTGGTAGGGGATCAGAATATCCTTCAATACAGGAAGCTAGGGCACTGTGCCTCCTGTAGTCTTTGTGAATGGCACCCCTGAAATTGCGTGCGGACAACCCACATGGCTGTACGTAGCGACTGTGTAAGGATGGTGCCAACATTAGCCTCCTACAACAACCAGGCCCTGTCCATACTCCTTGGTTAAGCATGGTTCTAGCAGCCAACCATCAATCCTGAGTTGTCTCTCTCTTTGCTCTGCCTCTGTAGTGGGTGCAGTTGGTGGCCCACTCAGATCCCCGTTAGAAGGCAGAGCATCCATCCCTCTACCGCTGAGTGCTGCAGCCAACAGTCTACAGTCGCCCCTTCTCTGGAGAAATGCTCTTGCTTGAGCAGAGCTGCCTTGCTGGGAGTTATGTCCCTCCTGCCCCTGGGGACTGTTGGTGGCCAGTAACTGACTGAAAAGGGGGTACAAAGGCCTGACTACTAAAGTTACAGGGTCAGAGTTGGGCCCCCAAAGCTCCTTATTCTTGGGTTTAGAGCTTCCTACGCCAATTCTGTTGGGTGACAAGAGTGATGGAGACATTTAGGAAAGCAAGAGGGGTGAACAGAAACAGTGTAGGTCCCCCAGATTGGTGCCAAGGTCACAGGCAATTGTACTCACAATGCCCAGGGTGAAGAGGGGGCGGAGGACTTTATTGTTGGAGAATACTTCCAGCACGATCATTTGGGCCACCTGGGCAGCGCCGCTGTTCAAAACGAGCTTTGGGGCCTCCTGGGTTAGGATCTTCACAATCTGTGTGCGCCCCAGCGCTTCCGCAGCCTGGAAGGACATCAGACCTGCATGTGGCCTCCCCAGTGCCTCACCATGGCCCACAGGTCCCATGTGGCCTGGCCCATGCCCAACTTCCTGGCCTCCCTGCTTCCTCTCTGCTCTGGCCACTGTCCTCTCAGACCCTGGAATAGATTGTTGCTCTCCCCATCTCACAGCCTTTGGTTTCTCGTCTCCCTCTGTCTGGAATACCCTTCCCTCAGGGAAGACCTCCCTGGTTCCCCGGACTCTATCAGGTGCCCCAGTAATGCTCTCATGACCCTTAGAATCTGTCCTTTGTAACTGAAATACTATGTGTGATTATTTGATTCTGGTCAACTTGTCCAGTTAGACTGAAATTTTCGTGAGGACAGGGACTGGTTTGTAAAAGTCACCGGTGCTAGAAGGAAGGAGAGTGGTCCCACACACATTTTTATTCCCCAGAGGCCAGTGGTCAGACCACAGCAAACACCCATCAAGCTGCAGATAGCCAATGGACCAACCTTTTCACTGATCACCTTGACTTTAGACTTCAGCCGGCGGGCCAGCTCAGGGAGCTGAAGATGAGAGAAAGTCAGAGCAGGTCAGCTGGAGGGGAGGGGGAGACACACCCACAGCAGCCTCACTGCTGGGATCCCCAGAACCCCGGAAAAGCTGGGTGGGCCTGGTGTACAGGCTACATGTTTGTCACTGGTGGAAAACAGCTCTATGTTTGCTGTGAGGCATGAGGTCCCTGCTGGCTTGTACTTGTACTGTGGGTTGTTGTTGTTGGTGGGTTTGTGGGCAGCTCACTGCTTGTGGAGAGCACAGAAAAGTGATCCAATTCTTACCATAGCCATGAACGTGGATGCTGGTGACCACTCCTCTTTTCTTACCATTTCAGCCCCTTATCTGAGTTCTAGTCCTCAAGAGCTTGGTTATCTGTTGTCTGTCAGCTTACTTTAAGTTCTGACACCGTCCTATAACTTTGGGCCAACCCTTTCCCCCTGTGGGCCTCAGTTTCCCTATCAGCCACCTTAAAGGAGGTGGCACACCCTGGTTGACCAGTGGTGGCTGCCTGCTATGCTGTGTTGATAAGGATTCCAAGGCTGTGTGGGCATCTAGGCTCAATAGGGAGGACCCTGATTGATCAGTAATGTGTGCTATCGGCCCCATAGTGGACAGCAGTGGAAGAGTATCTAAGATGCCCTTTGTTTCAACAGGACTGTTATTTGGTAGAAGAAGCAGGTGTGTCATATCCCACAGGGAAGAAGTAGGACAGGGGCTGGATGTTACAGGAAAAGTTTCAGCTTTAGGACTATATGCAGAGGCAGAGGCTGTTAGAAGAGGGAGGGGAGCTCTCAATTACTAGAGGGGTTTAAACTGAGCCTGATAGAGGATTCAGGCCCAGGGGCTTAGGGGTCCTTGCACCCCCTTTGAGTCAGAAAATTCCCATGATGCAGTAGAGTTGGCTTCATCTTCTATCTCATTTCGAGGCTTACCACATAGTCCAACATGACCATGAATTCTTCTGGAGGGAGCAAGGCAACTATTGCAGCATTCAGCACATCCTGCCTCACAGTGAGGCTGAAAGGGGCACCGTCCAGGTCAGGAACTGTCAGGGAAGGCACAGACTCACTGAACTTCTTGGTCACATTTCCCTGTGAGTCCAACAACTTGGCCTAAGGAGACACAGAGCAGAGAGTTGGTTCAGAGCTTTAACTCCACAGCTTCCCAATAACAACCTGAAAGGAAATAGTGCTACTCAGCCTGCTTCTCTTTTTGAACTTGCTGCCAGGAAGCTTAGCCTGGAATTCAGTGCCTTGCTGTAGGTGACGAGTTATCTCAGGTGCCTAGCAACATCTACTCCACCTGCACCCCTCAGATAATCTCTGATTTTTTTAAGCCTTAAATATCTTATTTGGCATTTAGTTTTCAACTTTTCAGATAACCTCACAAACCCTTTGGATGAAGGGAAAATGAAGAAAATGCAAGACAGTTGATGGAAATGTTTGATGTTGCAGTTTGCCAAAAGATCTATGAAAACTGGTCTGGGATACAAGCTGCCCAGGTTGGCCTGGTCCCTTAGGGAGTCCAGCCCCAGTGTGTATGCAGCTCCATTGACTGGGGTCCTCCTGCCTGCCAGTCTTCAGCCTCATTTCATTTTCTCCTTGGTGACTACGATTATCTACATTTTACAAACGAGGAAACTGAGGCTAAGGGAGGTGAAGAAACTTGCGCAGAGTCACAGGACCAGGCAATGGTTGAGCTGGGAGAGAAACTTAGGTCTGTGTGATCTCAATGATGTGTTTTGATCCTGGGCTCTTGCTGCAAGGTAAACCAGATGTTTGGGAGTTGGCAGGGGTTTGCCTGAGAGAAAGGCTGAGCCCCAGTGCAAACACTCTGGCTCGTGACTAGGGAAATCAGGGTTGGAGAACAGATCACCAGGGTTGACGTTCTGTGTTTGCCGTTTAGATTCTATCTTCTGTTTTTTCTCCATCAGAATGGTTTACATGGGACATGCTCAGCCTATTGAGATTTTTAAAAATCAGCCTGTGTGTCTTAACCATGACCAGGGTTTTCTCCCCTGAAATAGACCCGTGGTGCCTGTCCTTGGGTGGTCAGAGAAAAACAATGATACCCCCAATGATGTACTCTCAAGGTCCCATGACACTCACCCCCAGGTTGAGCTGGATGGCATCGCCCTTGATGGCAGAAGACTGAAGGTCAAACTCCAGGTGGTCATCACCGATGGAAACAGGCACTGCTTAGGGACAAGAAAGTTGTGTGAGGGTGAAGGGCAGTATTGGATGGGGTTGTCTGGGGGCTGCTTTTGGCTATAGCTGCATTATTGCACGGGGTGGGGTAAGTAGAGAGGAGAGGAGTAATGATGATGTTGATAATGACAGTGATGAAAATGATAATGGCTGACATTTATTAAACATATATTGAGTGCTAAACTGTGCTAAACCTTTCCATGTGTTAGCTCATTTAATCCTCACAATAACCTTAGGAGCTAGGTCCTATTATTACCTCCATTTTACAGATGCAAAAACTGAGGCTCAGAAAAATGAAACGATTTGCTCATACTGTGAAAAGATTTGAACCCAGTGATCCTATGCCAATGTCCTGGTTTGGAACAAAGCTGCCCTTGCTTGTAACTCTCCACCTCCCCACCAGACTGAGCTGTACCCAGGCAGATCTGGATCTGTTCACTGGATGGCACATATTTGCCTTGGGATTCCCCACTTGGCCGCGAGGGGGTGGTGGCGTCTCAGCTGCGCTCACTGTGGGGCAGAGAATGGGATGGGCAGAGGAGGGGATGCAGGGGTGTGTGGGGAGTAGGTCCTTGAACTTCCTCCACTCCCTCCCCTCCCCGCACCCCAATTCTTGCCCTGACCCTGGGAGGCAGAGGAGCCAGACAGACTTCTGTTCTAGCCACAGTAGCATTAGGTAGTCTCTTCCCTCCTCAATCTCAGTTTGCTCATTTTAAAATGGGGGTGTAATACAGTAAGACCAGCTTCACAGGCATAGGACGAGTACCTGGTAAAGTTGGCTTGAATCTGAATTACACCACACTTGAAATCTGAAGAATTGGGTTTTAAGTCTTCCCCGATTACTAACTTCCTCTGTGAACTTGGATAAATGATTTAATTTCTCTGAGCCTCAGTTTGCTGATCGGTGAAGTGGGGTAATGATCACTACTTCAGGTTCCAGCCGGACGGTGTATATAAAACGCCCAGCCCAGCATTTGCTCTATGCGTGCCCAGTGCTACCGACTCCATTCTCCCCTCACTCCTCTGGTGGCCCCTCCAGATGAGCGTTTTGGATCCCCAAACAGTAGACAAGAGAATTTTCTTCCTCCCGCCACCCCCACGGGGAGGCAGAGACGTCTGAGCACAGCAGAAATCTGAAGTGGGGGAGAAGCCCATGACCTTCTGTTTCTGCTACTCTCAAGAAGTGACCTCTCTCCTGAGCACACAACTGGTCGCTTCCCTTGTTCTCTCTTCTCTAAGCCCAGAGTGGTTGCTGTACCATCCATCCATCCATCCAGCCAGCCAGCCAGCCAGCCAGCCAGCACATGTTTGAAAACACTTCTCTGTGCAGCCAGAGTGCCTGGACCTTTCCTGGAACCTTCGATCCTCACTAACAAGCCTGTGAGGTAGGGATGTATAAGCCCCATTTTAAAGATGAAGAAGCTGAGGCTAAAGAGGCAGAGTTGGCTTCCCACAGTCTCGGGACAAGTCAGCGGGAGAGCTGGGACTTGAACTCAGGTTTGTCCGGGCACCTGCTGGCTCCTGTGGAAACTTGCCCGTGGCAGGCACTGGTGCGATGGGAAGGGACTCCCTGTGTGCTCATCCCAGGCAGGGGGCAGTGGGTACGCTTCCCACCGGCTGCTCGGGCCTTGCTTGGGAGGTGCCTGGGGGCAGAGCCAGGCCTGGAGGCCCGCTGGGCAGGAAAGGGAAAGGCGGGAGGGAGCCGTGCACTCACTCTTCGCCAGGTGCAGGAGGTCCTTGTACATGTCTTCAAAGGCCTCTTCGATCACGGGACACAGCTGTAACAGCACAGATGCAGGCGTTTCATGGGCAAGGGGGTCCCACAGTGACCCATGCCCGGCCCACGTGGCCTGAGCCCCACTGCTGTGCTCATGGCCAGCCAGATTTTTGTCCGTGGGGTTGAGGACTCAGTGGTGCATCCACTCCCCGGCCAACTCTGCTGCTCAGAGAGACCCCCCGACCCCACCCTCTGGCTCCCAGTGAACATGGGATCTTTGTCCCTTGTCCTATGCCCAGCGTGTGCCTGGCCCACCAGGTGCCCTCCCCATCAGACCCCTCCTCTTGTTCCCGAGAGCCCGTGTTTTCCACGAGAGGTGAGAGGCGGATGGAGGAGCCATTCCTTCATTCACTTATTCGGCACATCATTACGGAGCTCCCTCTGCACGCCAGACTCTAGGCCAGAGGCCAGCAAGACAGACCGAACCAGACTTGGGAGCAATCTCTCTGTGTCCTTTGTGGGTTTCTAGCTCCTCCCAGGTGGCCAGCAGTTCTCATCAGGGAGCAATTTTGTCCCCCAGGAGACATTTGGAAATTTCTGGAGATATTTTTAGTTGTCACGACTTGGGAGGTGATGCTATTGGCATCTATGGGTAGAGGTAGAGGCCAGGGATGCTGCTTAACATCCACAGTGCACAGGACAGCTCCCCGCAATAAAGAATTATCTGGTTCAAATGTCAGTAGTGCCACGGGTGGAAGCCCTGGCCTAACCTAGCCCTGGCCTTGCCCGCTCCATCAAGGAGGAGGCTGAACATTTACTTGCCTGTGGGACCCAGAGCAACTGCTCTTTGCTTGAGGCAGCCCATTTTCCAGGGCAGTGCTCTGGGATTTTGCCAGGTACAATTTCCTCAGTGGAAGAAACTTCTGGTCGACCACCCATTGCTACCTCTCAAGAAAGGACATTGCACTTGAGAAATGTTCTTTTTCTTTGAAAAACCCATTTCTTTCTCCTAGCTGCTTTGCCAACCCAGAACCCAGGGGGATGGAGGACTCGGGCTCAGAGACCCCCGACTTCACTGCCAAGGGACTACCTGTTCCTCATAGGCAAGGTGTCCCTGGCAACCTTCGCATCTTGTCCCAGAATTCCTCTTCCTTCAGTCTCACCAGTGGGTCTCAACCCTGGCTACACATCAGAATACTCTAGGATCCAAGCCGGAATCCTCTGGGATGCTGGGGCTCCACCCAGGCCAATGAAATCTGAATCTCTGAGGTAGAGCCCAGCTACCAGTATGATAGTCCCCCCTATTCTCAGGGGCTACATTCCAACCCCCCAGTGGATGCCGGAAACCAAAGAAGGTACCCATCCCTAGATAGACTATGTTTTATCCTATATGTACATACCTTTCACTTAAAGGAAGCGCTTTGCAGCTTCTCTTTGGCATTTCTGAATTGTCAGCATCACTACTCTTGCACTCTGGGGCCAATATTAAGTAAAATAAGGGTTATTTGAACATGAGTACTATGATGCCATGACAATCTATCTGATAAGCAAGAGGGTGACGAATGACTGACCGTGGGGAGTGTAGGCAGCGTGGGGATGGGGACAAAGGGATGATTCTCATCCAGGGGGAGACAGAGCAGGGCAGCCTGAGATTCTATCATGATACCCAGAATAGTGCATGATTTAAAACTTATGAGTTATTATTTCTGGAATTTTCCATTTAATATTTTCAGACCTGTCGACCATGGGTAACTGAAACTACAGAAATCAAAACCGTGGATGAGGGGACACTACTGTATTTTAAAAAGTCTTCCCAGGTGGTTCTGATGTGCAGCTGGGGTTGGGACCCACATATTTACATCTTCTAGATGGGCTCCTACCAGATTTCAATATGCTGTGCCTTTCTCTTCACATCAAGTTAAATATTTATATGACCATCAAATCAAATCCAGTGAATCATGGTGAACAACAGAAAGCCAGTCATCTTATATTGTTTACTACATGTAGCTCTTCGCCCTTAAAGACAGTTGTTATGCACAGAGCATTATGTAATTCCAAGTTCTTGACATCTTTTCTAGTAAATGTGAAATGTCGTAAGTGTAAAAATATGTCTTAAGTGTTTCAAGTATGATGCCAGTTTATGTATGATTTTGATGGAGACTGGGAAGAAATTTCCAGCTGGGTCCTACTTTAAGAAACTCCCACTTTTTTTTTTTTTTTGAAAGAAATGCTGACCTTAAGGTAGAAAAAACAACAACTTTCTTAAAAGGAAAATTATCTCATGTAAGAAAAGCCAAATTTTATAAAGTTATTCACTTTCAGATTCCTTTAAGGAGGCTCTCTGGAATTGTTTAGTAAAGTATTAAGTATGGTGAAGCTATTAGAATAATTATGAATTTTGTACAATGGCGTAGAAAATATATATCACTTAAGTAATTTAAAATAGCACTGACATAGAGTGCAGCCACATAAACATATGAGTGCAATACACAAAAAGAAAGAAGCTGCCAAGTTAAAGTAGAAGGATTATGGATATATTTCCACTAAAGTTGTTCAGTTATTACATGATCCTTTCATTTAAAAAAAGTTTTATTGTAAAAACCATATTAATTATTTGACAAGATGTTTTGAACCCCAGGAGGCCCATTGCTGTGCACACTGTCTTGGAATTTATAGTGGAAATCAATGGTCAAAGTGAATGAATAAACTTATAGAGTTTTAATTTACCCGTAGCATATAAGGGACATATAGAGTGAGACTGACTCATGTTTACTGACTCAGAAAAATAAAGCCAACAGGACCTGGTGGGTGACAGGTTGGTTTGAGACACTAGTATACCAGAGTCAGCTTGTACTGGTTTGTGAGGGCTAATTGTTAAATTTTCAGGAATTTCTGAGCCAGTGAGTGCCAAGCCCAGACATTATTACAAATTAATAATTATTTGGTGTAAATAAATTATACTAAAAGTAAAGTTAATGAAAACTCAAAACTCATTACTTCCTAATTATTTTGCTATGTCTTATGATTATTTCTTGCTCTTGAGGTTATTTACATCTATTATATCCTAGTGGTGGGAATACCATACCGTGGTGTGCTTCTTCCCAACTCTGCTCAGTGACACCACATTAGAGCTTGAAATTGGCCTTGGAGGGAATGTTTACACCAGAGAAATCAGCAAATGCTACACATCTCAACCGCCCCAGAGTCAATAATTCACAGTTTATCAGCACATCACTGTTCAAGGTCTCCTGGCTGACTTTTGGCAGTTCCATTACCTTGATCTCAGTGAAAGAATGATCCAGACCCAGAGTTTCCAGCTCAAGGAGACACAGGCTCCTTAGCAGTTCCACCCAGCCCCACAGGGGGAGAAATCTTTACAGGCCAGGGAGGTCCTGATTCCACTCACCTGTTTTTTCACCAGTTTGGGCAGGGCTGGCACCAGGAGTTTCATGACATTGTTGGCCAAGGGGTTGACCATGAAGGAGAGTCTTCCAGAGAGGAGAAAGGGAGAGAGATTAGGAAAGGTCAGAGATGAATATCCCTCCCTTGTTTTACAGAAGGGGAAACAGAGTCCAGGGGAGAAAGGAACTTGCCCAAGGTTACACGGCCTGTTAGAGACAGGGCTGGGAGTAGACCCTGAGCCAGGTGTAGACGGTAGCAGAGAGTTCTCAGGGGGCAGGGGCAGGGATTGTCATAGAAATTAATTTGTGCTGGACACTGGGACGATGGCAGGCATTTCTCCCCATTCTCCTGCTAAGGGAAGTGGAGGGAAGCACAATATTTATGAGCCCCTGCTGTGTGCCACACACTCTGCTGAGTACTTAGAGCTGTGGCCTGAGCTGACCTCTCACTGCAGCTTGGAAGGCGAGGCTCAGGGAGGGGACTAGCCCAGCATCATCCAGATAGTAAAGGAGATGCATTTGCCTGACTCCAGAGCATGTTTCACCCTGGTTCCATCCTCAACTGCCTGGGGTGGTTTAAGGGGCCCTAGGAAGGTGGCTCCTCTCTGCCTTTAAAAGTTTGCTGCACTGCCTGGCATGATGCCTGAAATCCCACTGTTATGGACTCCACCCTGATGCCTTGAATTCTTTGGTATCACAGATTCTCTGAAAGGAGCTCCAGATCAAGAGTGACAGTCCCTTTCTTTCTCTGGGCATAGTGCTCTCCCTGTGTAAAATGGGGCAAGACCACCACCTGCTTCCCTCCCAGGCGCGGTGGGAGTCCAGCGGGAGCTGGCCACACTCACTTTTTCAGCAGGCTGATGCGCAGGCCCTTCTGGCTGGTGGAGCAACTGCTGAGGGCGAGTTGGGAGTTGCCTCCCTTGCTGGTCTCCACTTCGATGGTGGCTTCGACCTCTGCTTCCATGTGCATCTCCACAATGCTCTTGTATAGGGGCCTGGGAGGGACGGTGCCCAATGCTGTGAGCTTCATCCCAGATCCAGGCTGGAACAAACCTGCTGTCCCTTTCCGTCTTCTGGCTCTCTCACTTCCCTTCTCAGGCTCCTTTGCTGGGTTCTCCTCCCCCCCCCCCCCCTTCTTTTTACTCCAGCATGTCCCAGGCTTTGTTTTATTACTCCTCTCCTGGTTTAAATCCTCTGCATATGCAAACAGCTTCCAAATTTATACCCAGCTCCTTACTTAGGTGTCTTCCAGGGATCTCAAATTTAGCATGTACAAAATTGAACTGTGGATCCTGCCCAAACCTGCTCCTCTCATGATCTTCCCTGTCTTGGTTGCTGGCCACTCCATCCTGCCAGTTGTGTAGGCAAAAACCTTGGATTCAGTCTTGACTCCTTCATCTCTCTCTCCCTCTCCTCCTACATTTAATCATCAGGAAGTCGTGTTGACTCTTCCTACCTCCAAAACATATCCAGAATCTGACCACTTCTTACCACCTTCCTGCTCCCAAACTCTGGTCCAAGCTATCATCGTCTCCCTCTGAATTATTTCCGTCGTTTCTGGAAGGCCTCCCTGCCTCTGCTCTTGCCTCATATACAGCAACCAGAGGAATTCTTTAGAAATGTTAAATATGTCATGTTTCTCCTCTGCTCAGAACCCTCCACAGCTCCCATCTTACCCCCTCAAAGCCAAGTCTGCACATTGGTCCACAAGGCCCTGTACGATCTGGCCTTGGCTGCCTGCTGGCCTCACCTCCCTCAATTCTCCTTCCTTCTCCCCACTCTCTTTGCCATTCTTCGAACAAGGCAAGCGTACTCTTGCCTCAGAGCCTTTGCTCTTCCCTCTGCTTAGAACTCTTTTCCAGATTCCTGCATAGAGGAAAAGAGGGAATGAGTGGATGAACCCGTCAGGCCTGCTGTGCCTGGCGGAGGGGATACTCACGTGTTGAATCCAGCCACCATGTCCAGTGGGATCTTGACCATCAGCTCCTGGTCTTTAGTAGAGGGTTCCACCTGCAGCTGCAGGATGTTGGCTGAGGTGACTTTCAGCCTGGATGGGATGCAGGAGAGATGAGATTCATCTGAGCGTTGGCCACAGACTTGTTCCCCTCCATCTTTCCTGTCTGCCCTGGTACCCAGCCAGCAGTTGGACCCAAGACCTGTCCTCTGACTCTTCCCCAGCATAGTCTTGCCACAACCCCTCCTTCCCCCCGCCCAGCTCCTGCTCACAACACTTCTATGGCTCTCCCGTTAGTTAGGAGATGAACCCCAGCTCCTTGGGCCAACTTGGAAGACCCTCTGTGACCTGGCCCTACTGACCTCCCAGTCCTCACCTTGGGGTTTGAGCAACAGCCATTCTGATGACTCTCACCCACTATCCTCTCCCCAAGCTGGCCCCTCTGCCTGGAATACCACTTTCTTCTTGTCTCCTGGTGAGCGTGGAGTCAATGGCTCACCTGTCACTGAGACTTAGAAGTGTCATCTTATCCCTTCACTTTCTCACCCCAGGTGACCTTCCTCTGGAGTCACCCTATTAGGGCTCTTGTGTGACTCTCTTACAGTTTTTAACTCCTCTGGGAGCTTCTGAGGAAGGGGCCTTGTTTGCTCCATTCCTTGTGGTCAGACCCAGAGCTTATTGACTGATCAATTAAATGTGGAAAGTGTGTCCTGGGCAGAACTGTGGGCAGGGAGCTCCCAAGTTGGCCCTGCTCCACTTACCATATAATGCGGTTCAGGACAGAGTTCACCAGGCTGCCTAGTATGGGGATGCCCCCAGCCGGCTCCTCCCCTATGGCGCTGAGCAGAGGCAGCTCCTGGAGGACGCTGATAGCATTATGGTCCTTCAGCTCCTGTGCCAGCCCTGGAGACAGATTCTAGAGATTAGAGTCCAGCAGGAGGGGCAAGAAGGGGCTCCAGGCTGGGAGGGGGCATCGCTCAGGGCTTCTCGGACCTGGACACAAGGTGTGGGTATGATGGCTCCCCCCTGACCATCTCCACCGTAGGCGTGCCTTGCAGGTGGTGGCCAAGATAGGTCCTCTTCACATGAAGGCTGAGGCTCGGGCAGGGGTGGACCATTCACACCCCTGAGCACTGACAGCCTCTGCAGCCCTCCCACCAGCCAGCGGCTAACGCTTCTGGAGCCAAGAAGCAGGGAACTCAAGTCTCTGTTTGGGGCTGTTTTGTTGCCAAAAGCGCACTTGCTAATAATTCTCTGGCATCCACATCCTATGGGCTTATTGTTCAAAGAGTTCAAGTGCTGAGCAGAGAAAGGAGGAGGCAAGGTCAGGGGCCTGGGAGCCAGGAGCCCTGGGTTCTAGTCCCGGCTGTACTCTCCCTGGCAGCCAGAGCCCTGACGAGCAGAGCACGTCAGAAGTGCTGGAGCGGTGGTGCTCAGGAAGCAGCCCTCGTCCAATGACTGATGGGAACTGGTGAAGAGACACCCCAGCTCCCTCAACCCCTGGCAGGAGGGCTCAGGTATGTGTGCCCTGCTGTGCCCCAGAGTACCTGTGTGTTATTGCCTCTAGGCAACAAAACCACCCTTTTTGCCTGCTCTGTGATAATGGAGATGGGCCCTGTAAATATTCCTCCTTCGCCGGCTGGTGTGACATTAGCTCTGTCAGAAGAGGCTCTGGAGGGCCATGGAGGAGGAGGGGGCTTCCCCTCCTGGCCCCAGTGTGCTCCTCTAGCCAGGCCCCTGCGGTGTCATTGCCCAAGGCTGCGAGTTCAGCAGCAGCCCCCAGGGCAGCCAACAAGTACTATGGGCACCCCAGCTCCTGCCCAGGAAGTTTCCTGGAGAAGGCTTCCCAGTGAGTCCACAACCACCCCCTTCCCTGAGGGCAGCCTCCCAGAGAATTCCACCAGCTCCTCACCGGCAGGTCTCTGCCTGCTGGCTCAGCCTGCCAACTGTGGGCCAGCTCTGACCCGTGACAACTGGGCAAATTTCCCCACCATCCTGTGGGCTTCAGCCACACTCCTCCCATGAGGTGTGGGGAGGATGCACCCCCTCCAAGTTTATTCTGTCCTTGGATTAGCCTCTTTCCCCTACCCAATCCTCTTTGGAGTTCTTTTTATTTTCTCTATTAGCCAATTCCCCACGACTCTGATCCCCTGCTCATAACTCTATACACAAACTCATGGTTGGGTCTACCATGTGGTTTCTGCCTCCTAACTGGCCCCAGCTAACAGAGTTGCCCCGTGGGACTGAGCTCCAGCTCCCAGTGGTATCTGGCCTGCCCTAACCCGGCTCATTTCCCACTCTCCTTCTGGTGTTTTCTGAGATCACCTCTAAAACCAACCACTTGCAAACAACCCCTTAACTCAGATTCTGCAGTGTGTGTGTAGGGGGGACCTATACCATGGTTGCCATGGCTGCTCATCTCCAGGCTCCTCCTGGCTGCCGCTCCATGTGCTTGTGACTCACCTCTGCCTGCCCCACAGCACCCAGAACTCTCTCTGCTCCCTGTCCCTGCTCTGGGATTCCTCCTCTGGCTACAGCGCCTGTGTGGCTGTGCAGGACCTGGTCCCACCCCTGTCCATCCAGCCCAGGCCCAGGTTCAGAGCATGCAGAGGGCTGGCCTCTAGTGCTTAATGGACTTCCAGAGCCTCATGTTATCATCTTCTCAGGGGACAACACTTTGGAGTGGTGGTTTTCAACTAGGGCGATTCTATTCCTTAAGAGACAGAATGTCTAGGGACATTTTTGGTTGTTACAACTGGGCTGAGGCTAAACATCTAGAATGCACAGAACAGACTCCAACAGTAAAGAGTCAAGGTCGGAAGTGCCTGAATTAAGAAATTGGAGCGTAGAGTTCATGAAGTTCTTGTCACTGCCTGGCCTATTGGGTAGTCCCAGCAACCTGGTGAGGAAGGTCCTCTTGTTTGTTTCCAGAGGAGGAGGCCGAAGCTCAGGGAGGTTCCCAGGGCCACAGAGCTGGAGGGTGATAAAGCTGTGCCTGGGACCTGAGCCGCCAGATGTCCAGCCCAGGGCCTTAGCTCTGGGGACTGGTTGCACACTGACTCAGACTCGGAGGAGGTGCTCTGCCAGTGGGGTTTCAGGCAAGGGCAGTGGGAGAGGCAGATGCGTCATCACACTCGGGGCCACACACCCCTTCTGCAGGCTGTGGAACCTCAGAGTAGTGGGTTTTGGAATCATGGAGTTTAAGAGGGGTTTCTTGGAGTCATGGACTCTTGGGATCATAGATACTCTCAATCTTTACAATTTGCCCACTCAAATCTCACCTAGGCCTGGGGTCCCAGCCTTGTCTTGCACACCCCAGTCGTGGGGAGCTCCCTCCTTCCTTTGGAGAGCTGCTCCGCCTGCCCCGTTGCCTTATGGTGCCGAAGCCTGGGAGACCAGACTTACTTTCTCTGGTGATTTCTGGGCCGAGGATCAGAGCTACAGGAGGACTGAGGAAGGCTCCAACCAAGGTGGTTGCCAGCAAACCACAGAGGAGGGTGAAGGTCCTTGAACAGGCCATATTCCTGGAGGTCAAGGAGCAGCAGGTGGCAGATGTGAGAACCTGGAATGGACATAAAGGGCCCTATTAGCCAGGCAGAGAGCCCAAGGGCAGGTCCACCACGCCTGGCGACTTAGGGCATAGAGTCCAGGAGAGGCTGTTTAGTGAAGTGATTAAGAGCGTGGGCTTTGGAGCCCAACTGTTTGGGTCTGTGTCCTGCTTCTGCTGCCAGGTGCTCGTTGTGTGGCCTAGACAATCAATTTAACCTCTCTGTGCCTCAGTTTCCTTATCTGGCAAATGGGTATAATGAAATCGTGCCTGACTTCATAGCCTTTGGCACTTAAAACACTCTATGGCCCACACTCAGCCATCCTCACCTCCTATTTGTTCCCCTCGTGACCTCTAAAGACCCGGTCATTCCAAGGTGTTTAAAGATCCCAGAATATAGCCTGTCCTCTCTGGGTTTGAAATGTTGCCCTTGCTCTTCTTGTGATGCTTTTCCCCTGCCTTCTCTACCTTCCTGAATGATTCATCCTTTAAACCTTTGCCTACATGTCCCTTTGCTCTGTAAAACTTTCTCCTGTAGCCAGAGACCCTGGACCACACTTGGAGAAATCTTGCTCTGGGGCTGGTATGTGCCCAGGACAGGAAGTTTGGAGGCAAGAGGAACAAGAGAATTTGGGTAGGACTCAAAGTGGCAGGAAAGCTGTTTGCCTAATCTGCAATTCTAAAGGGCCTGAGGAGGGAATAGGTGGCTGCTTGGAGCCAGGGAGAGAAAGGCAGAGAGGGAGAGGCCTGTGGGTGTCTCCTATGAGAAGAGCTGGGGGTATTCTGGCCCCTTGGCTGCTCTGTCCCCTCCATGGGGTGGATCCAGCACCTGATTCTTGGTCTTGAGCTCCCCAGCTTTCACTCGGGCTCAGCCTCCAAGCTTCTGCCTCCTGTGGACTGTCCTGCTTGGAGGGGATCACAAGGATGATAGCACCTATTTCTGTGGGAAAGTGTTTCCTCCCCAAATCCCAGCACCATACACACTCACCACATCATATCTCGCCTCCTGGCTTTCGCTTATGCTGTTCCCTTCACATGGGATGCCTTTCTCACCTCCTTTGTCCAACCAACTTTACTCAGCTTCTCAACTGACATGTACCTCTTCCAGGAAGCCTTCCCTGACTGCCCTCCACCACCATGCCCCTGGGCTTTCCTTGAGTACAGCACATACCACATTGGCCCATATTAGGAGTTCCTGAGGGCCAGGACTATCTGATAGTTCTTGTCCCCAGAATCACCCCAGCACAGGGCTGGGCACAGAGTAGTTGTTGTGTGCAGAATGGGTTTATGTCATTGGGATGGAGCCAGGGAAAGACTCAGCCATTCTTATTCTTCAGCACCATTCTTTGGTCTTCTGGGTAAGGGAGCTGGGCACCTCTTTACCCCCTCAGAGGGTCCTTCCTAGTCCAGCCAAGTCTCACTGCTGTTTCTGACCTGACCCCAACAGGTGTTTCCTGCTCTGAACCTTCCTGGTGCCCTAGGCTTTCAGCCCCTTCCCTACACTTTTACCTGGACACGCCGGAGTCCTCAGCCTCCTCCGCACCTGGGCCGTGGGTCTGGAAGCCCAGCCTTATATCCTGCATACCTGGGTTAGGCAGTTTACCCTTTGCATTTGGGCTGAGGCCTCAGGCCAGGCCAAGATCTCCAAGGAAAATATTTGTGGCTCCTGTTGAACCACATCCTTGCCTGGAGGCAGCCCCAGGACTCCAGCTTCCTGAGGTTTGGAGAAAGGTCTTGGGCTGTCATGAAGTGTGGGTGAGGTGCTGGGCCACGTGGCAGGCCCCTGGACCAGGCACATTGTGGCTGTTCGTAAATGCACCGCAGACCTCGAACTCCTAAAGGTGCGGTCCCTGGGAGGGACCCTGCATGTCCCTTGGGCACATCTCCAGAGAGGCAAATGCCCCCTCCTGGGTTTCCCAGCTGGCCATGCCTGCTGCCCATGGACAATGCCTCTCTGTAGTTGGCCTGAGCCCAGTGCCAGGGCCCAGGCCCACATCAGCTCCTACTTCCTGCCTCTCGGCCCCACACATTCACTGGGGGCAGCAAGCATGACTGCTGTAGGCCTGGCACACTCTGGAACCCAGGGGTTGCCATGGCCCCAGCCTCGATAGCACTCAGTTCCCCTCAGGCTGCGAGGCCTCTTTGTCCCAGCCTCACCCTTTCTAGCACCCAGGCCTTTGGTTGCGCTGTGCCCTTCCTGGGACACTCTGCCTGCCCCTGACAGCCCCACCTTGCCCCGTGTGGGCAGCAGAGCGGGGGAAGCAGATGTGGCTGACAGATGTGGTTCAATTTCTGCTCCTGGGCTGTTCAGCTGTGCAGATGTGGGAAAACTGCTTCTCTCTGAGCCTATGTTTCCTCGGTTGGAAAGTGGAGCTGTTTTGATGTGTGGAATGCTTGAATCATCAGAGAACTCAGTAAATGGTAAATGCTGTTGTTACTGTTGAAATAATATTACTGACCTTCAAAGCCCAACTCAGAAGGCAGGATCTGCATAAAGCTGCTTGGCCTCCACTCTACCTACACCTGAAATCCTTTTGCTCTCCTGGGAGCCCCCAAAGTACTAACTGCTTACTCTCTTGGGGCTTGGATCCCCTCTGCCTTGAGAGGTGTCCATTTTATCCATCTATCCACCCATCCACCCATCTATCCATCTATCCATCCATCCTTCATTCACTTACTCATCCCAGTCTCCTTTCCAGTCTCCCTCTTTCCACCCCTGCCCCTCCCACCAAAACCCAATTTCCACCCAACAACCTGAGTTAATTTTGAAATATATTACTCAGATCTTGTCATTCCCCTGCTTATTAAAACATCCAAAGGCCTCTGCAGCTCTTGCCTGAAAATCTGCAAGACCCCGCATGGTTGGCTGCTGTGCACCTCTCAGCCCTCGTCTTGTTCCTACCTCAGGGTCTTTGCATGTGCGGAACCTTTTCCCAGGAGTGTTCTCCCAGTCTTTCCTGGCTGGTTCTCTCTCATTCACCAAGTTTCAGCTTCATTATCCTGTTGGGAGCTGGTGATGTGTCTGGACATGGTCCATGTCGCCTGAGGGTCTGGAATCAAGGACTTGACCCTTCCCACAATTACCCTTGAGGAGGTTTGCTACCCCAGATAAGGAAATACCAAGGTCTGGGCTCACACAGGAGGCAGGGTACTTACTCTGAAAGAGTGTTTATGCAGCCTTGAGGGAACTACTTTGTATCACACTCACCCCAATACCAACTGTTTGTCACTTACTATATAATAAAGGCATTGAAGCCATTTGGGGCTGCTCCTCTCCAGAGGACAGTCTCCCTGATCCCATAACTTTGCCTCTTTCATTCCCACCACTCGGACTCAGGTTTGTTCGTTTCTCAGGCTGGTTCCTGACAGTGTCCCTTCCTTGGGAAGGCCTTTACTGGCCACTCTGTCTGAAGTAGAGCTCTTCTCTCTCACTGCCCACTCATGGGTGTCCTCAGTAGCTCTTACTCAGTCTGAAAACTCAAGTGTCATCTGAGGCACCACAATTCCACGATGCTATATACCAAGGACAGGGGCCCGACCACAGTGGAAGCAGGTGGCCAAGAACTGACTGCATAGCGCTTGGGTCCCTCATGTGGGTGCTCCTTTCCCAAACCAAGGTGATAAAAATGTCAAGAGGGCAAAGGAGACAGCTGTGGTCCCTCTTCCCACTCTCCCAGCAAGATGAACAGGGGTGTTTGCCCCTAATGCAGGCCTAGAGGGAGGGGGCTTTCCAGGGACCATTTAGGGGCTTGAGGGCCCCTGGAGTTGGGACATGGAATGTAATGGATTATCTTTCTTGCCTGAAACAAACAGGCTGATGATCTGAAGTTATGGTGGGAGAGTGGCTTCTGTGAGTGGAAAATTATAGTCTTTGCTCCCTCTGGATGGGGTCAAAACTTGTGTGTGTTTTACCCAGGGCCTGGTTTGGACCCTGCAGGAGAGATCTGGTCTGGAGCTGGTTTAAGTCCTTCCCAATATCAGCCCCTAGGCAAGTGAGGGAAGGGGCTGGGAGTGGCATGCAGGGTGATCAGTTGGAGAAACTCTGTCCTTATCTGAGGTTATGGCCTGAGAAACTTTGTAAGGAGGTTTGAAAATACCCCCAATGAAAGTGCCCATGAGACTCAGCTTGAAACATTTTTTGGCTCCCCAGAGAGTAGGGAGCCATCTATCAGTCAGGGGAAACCTCTCCTGCCCTCTTTCCGCTCCTTCTTGCCAGAGATAGAGGGAAAAGGTGTGTGTGTGTGAGAGAGAGAAAGAGAGAGAGAAAGAGAGAGAGGGGGAAAGAAAGAGTGTCTTCTGTCTCTCTACCAAGCTGGTCCATAGAAGCCTCAGTTACGGGTGGAGGGAGAGAGTCTGATGCTCAACTGAAGCTGGACACTCTGACACAGCAAAGTGGCAGAGTGGAAAAGACCATCTCTATTCTACAGATCACCATCCTGAGGTCCAGATAAGAGAAAACAGAGGTGTTATCACCCCCATTTTCCAGATAGGAAGGTTTGTGCAAAAGGGGAATGATCTGCCCAAGGTTCCACAGCCATAAAATGTGGAAGCAGGATTTAGACCCATTTCTGGCTAACTCTAGAGCCTGTGCTCTGGCCCTCTGCCCCAGCCCACCCATCCTCTTCAGCTGGTACAAGAGGCGCCCGCTTTTGGGAAGCCTATAGTCCTGTAGAAAATCAGAAATTGTTTCTAAGGACACGGTGGGTTGGACAGGTGGAAATCAGTAGGTCTTGTGGACTGTCACTGACTTGGAAGGCAAGAAGGAAGCCACCTTGAGGAACTCACTTGAGAGGCCTCAAGCCCACAATTTAAAAAGGCTCTCTGTTGGAACCAAAGATGCCACCAGAATGGCAGAAACACTTCACCTCTTGTTGCCTGTTACTGGCTGTTGGAAAAGTCTTCAGGGTCTGGACTCAGCGGAGGAGAGTGTGATGATTGATTAGCAATGTGTGCGCTGAGCAGTGTAGATGCTA